TTCTTCACATGTGTAATGACATGTAATTTACAACTTTATGAAGTTGTGTTATTCCTTTTTAGCAGATGAGAAATTTAAACTTAAGGGACTTTAAACAGTTTGTCAAAGGTTACAAAAATAATAAGTGGGGAGCTGGATTCAAATTGGGGTCTGTCAGACACTAAACTTGATTTCAGTTCTGTTATTTTGGTAGTGTAAGTGAGAAAAATTGTGGTAAGACCTATCTAGTAACTATTTGTTTATCAAAGTATTCTGGTGCCCCAAATATGTAATTGTCCATTGATTTTTTTTTTTTTCATTGATTTTTTTTTTAAGAGGTTTTTAGTCTTTAGATTTTTTTTCCAGCATACACTTTTCTAGTGCTATTGAGGTAGAAAGAACAATTTGCTGTGGGTTTTGTTCCTTGAATGGGACTTGTAGGAATACCGAATACAGAAGTATCGGAATACAGAAGTGAGATTATGGTTCATATATAAAGGACCTTTGAGTACCATAAATGACAAAGAGCTTTGCTTTTAAATTAGCAGTAATTTCTAATACGGCTGTGTAAAAATAGAATAGGTAGTTTTGAATAGGTAGCAAAACTTTTGGTCAGTCACTTACTCATAAGAAATACTATGTAGATAAGAGGAGAATGGGTGATTTTAAGAAACTCTCCCTGGGGAACACAAACCCAGAGGGTTCTGGCCTACCTTTTTTCTTTTTCTTTTGGTTTTAGTGGCACACAGCCGCAACCCGTTTGTTAACATATTGTCTATGGCTGCTTTTATGCTATAACTGCAAAATTGAGTTAGTTACCTTATAGTCTATAGCACCTAAAATTAAAATATTTACTATCTGGTTCAGTCCAGTAAATGTTTATTGACCCTTCTTATAAAGTAAACCCCAGTGAAAATGATTTTACTTTATTTGTCCGTAAAAAATGGGGAAAACTTTTCAAGCATAGGCTCGTAACTTGTTGGTTCTTTCCAAGGTCAGCACATAAGCTACATAGTGGTCTCCTTTGCTAAGAGCAGATTCTGGCCATATGATGTCTTGTTAATTATGAAAGGCTGAGCTAAAGACTTTGTCCTCAGTTCAGTCAGACTAATTGAAAGCCTCAACTAAGTTCTTTTCTCTTAGTTTTTTGTTTTACCCATTCTATTTAACTGTAAAGCACATTTAGCATCAAATAAAGTTCATTGTGACCTCAGGCAAAGGGAGGCAGCCACATGTGGGAGTGCTAGAAATAAACCTGGTATCTGTCTGAGGGGAAGCAATATGTGTGTAACAAGAAAAAGGAACTTGCCTGTTCAGTGAGATCTTTGCTGACTTTTTGTACTCTGACCCCATGTTTAAAAAAATATGCAGGACTTCAATTCTTTTGAGTTCATTTTCAAACCAATAGCTTTTTTTTCCCACCAAACATTTTTTACTGTTTCTATAAATATACATGCCCCAGTGTTCCTGTTGTACGTGTTTTTCTTTTGGCCAGCTGTTTAGGTTAAACCTGTTCATGTAGCACACACTCTTTTAGGTTCAATGTCAAATCTTCAGATACCTTCTCCAAATTACTATTTTGATCAGAATATTTTAGCACCTGCAAAAGTGCCATGTTAGCATGAATGAAAGTGCATATTTTTCATTTTCATTTTTCTCTGATGTCTCAAAATATTCTTTTGGTATCTTCCATGCCAAATTAGAACATTTGTAAGCAATCAATATGTTAGAACACCCTGACCTTTGGTCAACAAATAGGTAATTAGACTTTTCTGTCAAGTCTGATAGGTTGCATGTAAGTCTACCTGGATTTTTGGTAGATTTGACAATCCCATCTCGTGCCCCCACCCCCACCCCATACAGATGACATTGAATTTTGGAGAGTTGTCTTCACTGTGACTTTATATTTGAGTTGCACTAATGGGGTTTACTTCCCTTTTAAGAGAGCTACACAGCAGTTCTAATGACACTGGTTTCAGTAGTTAGAAGGATGAAGGAAGAAGATGGAAGCAATGCAAGCCTTAGGTAAAAGAATTATACTTGCCTCCTTTTGAAGCAGTGGGCTAAGGTACCACTGAGACTTGGAGTCAAGGCCAGAGAAAACTTTCTACATACTCATTCAGAGTAGGGTGATGGGGCTGCCATCCCCACTGCTGTAGAATTTATCTCATTTTACAATTCTTGCTTTAATGGAAAGATAACAAATTGCTCCTTGGGTCAGAGAGTCTGAGAAAGGAAGATAAACATTACTAAGCGTTGTCATGGCCTTTATAAGAAGTTGAGTGCAAAGGGTGCCCCCGTAAGGTGGTCAGGGCTCCAAGAGTTTGTCCCCAGCTTGACTTCTGTCAAACTGTCTCTATGACAAGGCTGTTTTTTCCTTCCCATTGTGAGCATTCCATCCTCAAGATGCTAAATGCTTTCATCATTGTCTGCTTTTGAAGAGGAAATTGTTGGACTTTTGCCCAGTTTGACTGCAAGTAGAGTAGGAGGAGATGTAGGAAAGTGAGCCAAAGTGCAGTTTAACCAGACAGTGTTTACTTCACATGTGTTGTGTCACGATAAGGATAGGGGTATTGGTAAAAACTTTCATGCTCCATAGCTACCTTTTCTAGTGAAGCATAAAATTTAAAAAAAGAGAAATAAATTAATAATGCATATGTAAAGCAGGCTATTGGTATATCAGGCTGTCAGCATGAAGTTTCACAATTTTGCTTCCAACCGTATTTTGCTAGAACTAGGGAAGTGCTTAAAGAGGCATAAAATTGAATTGTTGGTTGGAAGGAAATTTAGGAACTATTAAATGAAACTCTCCTCTTTTATCTGATTATTACACGGCTACCACACTCATTCATTCCCCCAACACACACACACACACACACACACTCACACACACACATTTTTTCTCTTTGGTAAAGTCCTTATGTGGCAGATAGAGGTCTGCATGGTCTTTCCAACACTGACTCTTTTTTCCCCTCACCTGCTCCCCCTGTACTTTCCTCTGTCCCTCATGTCCTTCCTCCTCACAGAGATCTTTCTTGACTGTTGACACGTTCTACTGGCACTTCTCATTTATCCATTGATCACATGCACATTGTGCATTTGTGGTTTGTCTGATCAGTGAGAGCAGGGACTGCATTTTTGGCTCATTTCTGTGTCACCAGCAGCTAACACAATGCTTGGCACATAGCTGCACTCATATATGTATAGAACCCGTGAATTCCATCCATTGCATTTTCTGTAGTCACCTGACTTTTATTTGAACTTTGCGAGGTATTTTATTCCATTTTGTATTTGCTCTAGTGATAATACCATTTTTAGAAAACTGAAGAAAATGTTGACAACCAAAATGAGAAAAGGATAATATTAATATATGAAGGACTCATATAAATCTCTAAGGAAAATGTTTAAAACTCTAATAAATAGACCAAGTATGTGATTAGCTAATTCACAAAAGAAATTCTACATAAAATGGCTAAAAGAGACCTGAGAAAATGCTTATTTGCACTAGGGATCATATAAACGCAAAGCAAAGCAAAATCCTACCTATAGATTTAGCAAAAATTATTTGGCACAAGAAGCAGCCTGAGAGACCTCTTACACAGTGACTCTGTAGACTGTGTTAGGTTAAAAAGATAGTTTTAGAGCCACTCAGACCTAGTTTTAAGTCTTAGATCTTCCACTTGGTTAAATGTATGACTCTTTTGCAAATTAATTTTATGTCTCGTTTATAAAATTAGGAGTTTACCTATTTATAGGGATTTTGTTATTGTTTGTTTAATTCATTCAGAAATACTTATTGAGTGCCTGCTTTGTGCCCAAACACATTCTCAGGTACTGAGGATACACACTGAACAAATTATCCCTGGCTGATGGAATTTACATCCTAATGGTAGAGACAGACAATAAACAAACACATAAATAAAATGTACAGGATGTTGGATAGTGTTGAGGGCTATAGAGGAAAATAAAGGAGGGAAGGGATGGCAGTTAGTATGTCACTGTGTTGCTATTTTAAATAGGATGATTCAGGAATCCCTTACTGAGACGGTGACATTTCAGCAAAGATTTCAAAGTGGTAAGGGAGTAAACCATGTAGATGTCTTGGGGAAGAATGTTCCAAGTAGAGAAAATAACACAGATAAAGGAATGAGGGAATATTGTACCTGATATGTTTGGGGAATAGCAATGGAGCCAGTATAGTAAGAACAAGTGATCAAGTGGAAGATACTATGAGAGGTGAAGGGGGACGAGATTGAAGGCCTTGTGAGCTACAACAAGCGGGTTGGCTTTCACTTAGGTGGGAAGTCATGGCTGAAATTTCAATCAGGGGAATGACATAATATGAGTATATTTTAAATGGATTATGTTGCTGTTGCATTTAGAACAGACTATGCTGTGGAAGCAGGTAGACTAATTAGGAAACTTGAATTTTGAATAGGGGTTGATGGTGACCTGGACTAGGGTGGTAGCTTAAGGAAGGGTGGAGACAGAGAACTACTTAGACTCTGTACATTTTCAAGGTACGTAAATATTAGGCATGAGAGGAAAAGTGAAAGATTACAAGGTCTTGGGCTTGAACAACTGGAAGGATGGAGTTGTTGTTAACCAAGGTAACGTGTAGAGTGCTTAGCCTGCTGTGTGGCATCTACTAGATGCTACATAAAGGGTGGTTCCCTTCCCCAAAATTTAGGGTAAAAATGAAAGACTTTTCCTTTATCTGATGTGCTTGTGTCCACCTACATAAACAAATAGAATATTTCACCAGAATAATTAGATAACAAATTATACATTTAGCTAGCACATTGGAGTTTAGTAAATTACTCCATCTGTTCACTAAGGTATTTACACTCTAATAGAAAGTGGAACTAATATTTTTCTATATGACTGATACAGTAATGGCAAGGTTATCAATAGTAATAAAACTTTTTTAAAAATCAAAGAAAAAACATACTCTCTCAGTGTTTTCATTTTATGGATAGCATACACATGTGACTCTTTATGCCCCTTTTTTTTCTTTTCAGGATGCTGCCTTATGGCTGTTTAGCAACAGGAGACCACTCTGGCCTCATTGAAGTTGTGAGCACCTCTGAAACAATTGCTGACATTCAGCTGAACAGTAGCAATGTGGCTGCAGCAGCAGCCTTCAACAAAGATGCCCTTCTGAACTGGCTTAAAGAATACAATTCTGGGTTAGTGTATTTTGTTTGATTATCATTCTTCTGAACAAACTGCCAAACAAGTAACTGTTCTCGCAGTTAGAATCATCAGTGTCCTAGAGGAAATATTAGTGTTATTTATTGCTTCATTTCAGGTTAGATCAAAATGACAAATAGGCCTTCCTAAAATCTTAACTGAAGATTAGCATTGAATTCTGCTTCATCTAGATCAAATTTCAGAGCTGGGCAGTAGTTTAAAAATCTAAGAACTTAAGTGTTTAACAAATAACATATAACTTTTTAAGTGCATGAACTTCCATAATTATGTGAATGTATGAACCTAAGTAAATTTTCAATAGATTTTTAAAATAGAAGTAAATGAGCTTGTAGGCTGATCTTTCCAAACTAAAAAATACAGTGCTAGGAATTGTGTTACTTACAATTATTGTGTTGGAAAAGCCCTAATACATAGGAAATTAAGGAATTTCACAGTGAGGGGAAAACACTGCAAGTATTTTTGGCTGAAGATTTTGAAGTCAGACTTAAATGTTATCATTGGCAAAATCCAAGAACTTGGACTTCCCTGGTGGCACAGTGGTTAAGAATCCGCCTGCCAATGCAGGGGACTTGGGTTCGAGCCCTGGTCTGGGAAGATCCCACATGCTGTGAAGCAACTAAGCCCGTGTGCCACAACTACTGAGCTCGCATGCTGCAACTACTGAAGCCCGTGTGCTGCAACTACTGAAGCCCACGCTTCTAGAGCCCGTGCTCCACAATTAGAGAAGCCACCGCAATGAGAAACCCGTGCACTGCAATGAAGAGTAGCCCCTGCTCGCCGCAACTAGAGAGAGCCTGCATGCAGCAGTGAAGACCGAATGCTGCCAAAAGTAAATAAATAAATAAATAAATAAAATCCAAGAACTTGTATGTGAGAATTAATTTTCATATTTTGATTTTAGGGCCTTGTCCCTAAAGGGTCTATATTAGTTACTTCTGATATAAGTCAGTGACTTTAATGGTTGGCACTGTAATACTTAACTCTTAAATGTGGAATTCTAGTCTTCAGTCAAAACTACAAAAATGTTCCAAAGCCCAGCATCATTCAGCCAAGCTGATGGTCTCCTCTCATTACTATGCATATGAACCTACCCCCGTCCCCGACAGAAATGTGAGCCCCAGGACACAGCAGTTTGAATAGTTGATGTCCAGTTACCTGATGTCTTTGAGCAAGCCTGCTGACTCCTCCCTGCCCTGCTCCTCTGATCATCATCCTCACTCTTGGCTGATCCAGCATCTTCTCCTTATATGGTTTTGGCAGCTCTGTGTTGCAGTTGTTCTCACATTAAAAAGGAGACAGAAGTGTGGATTGGCTCCGTCCCACACACTTGGAGGCTGAAAACCTTCCTTGCTCCTATTTTTTTCTCTTATTCAGGGATGACCTGGACCGAGCCATTGAGGAGTTTACCCTGTCCTGTGCCGGCTACTGTGTAGCTTCTTATGTCCTTGGGATTGGTGACAGACATAGTGATAACATCATGGTCAAAAAAACTGGCCAGGTAAGCAACTTCCCAGAGTGCCAAGGGCCTCAGTGATGCTGTTACTTATGTGCAGCACAGTCTCTTGTGAAACTCAGATTCTTTATGAGTCTCAGTCATGCCTTTGTCTTTCCTTTTATTTCCCACCCCTTGTTTCATATGCCATCTGCTTCATATATTGGTTTGTTTGCTTGAAGTTAGGTGATAAGCATTTATTTAAATGTTTAAAAAATTATTTAGGTTATTTACAAGTGACCTATTCCTTCAATATAAGAAATTGTATTTGGGACACATATGTGCCCAAGAGCAGAAGGAGCAGATAATGTGCAGGATGTATTAACTTTAAAGAAGATAAGTGTTAAAAAAAGAAAAAGTTGAGACAAACCCCACTTGAGGCATTTTTTCTTTTAGAATATCAAATATAATCATCTGTGGGAGTAAGGCGATACGGAGTATGCCTAATATCATTTTGGGGTAGCTAGGGAGCTAGACCAGGTTATATAATACAAAGAAGCTCTTAGTTTTGAAGTGAAAATTTTCTTATTCTTCAGAGTGACTTTTGTTTGTAAATTCTTTAATATTAAGCAAAGACAGATGAAATAATTTGAGACTTTTTCAGTTTAGCCACCCTTAGAATTCCCTGACACTAGGGGCATTCCAGAGTAAAGACTCTGAGTCACTCTGTGAACTCTGGCCCTAGGTGGGACCCAGAGTTTTACACCTCCTTGGAGATCTGGGTAGTTCTGGCTTGATCTTTTGAGAGTTGAACCTTGTGTTCACACTTAAAAGGATTCCCTCCGACTTCTGGTTAATCAAGCTGAAACACAGGTTTTTCTCCATTCTTTCTTGATGCCCTTCTAATATATTGAGGAATAAGAAATATGTAAATCCAAGAAGTCAAAGATAATAGGAAAAGAGGCCAACAGTGGGTGAAAGACATCAACAGATTTGGGGATGAGCAAAAGGAAAATGGAAAAATAGCAGTGACTCGGCATAACTGAGAAAATGGCTACTTGTGGAAGGGTGTGTCAGTCTGAGGAAAGCTCTGGAATCAGGGGCACTAGGTGCTGCTGAAGGTGGGGAGAAGGGAAGAGGCTGAAAACAGGATTGATTGGCAGTTTATATATGGAGCAATTAGGTGCTTATATCTCCTTCCCAACTCCAAGAAGGGCTAGAGGATTTATTCTCTGAAGAAACCAATTCTTCTGACTCAAGGACAAACAGCTTCTATGGAAGCCAAGGGTATGATGCCATATTAAAAATAGGGATGGAGTGAAAGTTGGCATGATAAATGGTATGATTCCCAGCCACTTCTGCTTGCTTTGCTCCAAGAACAGTAGCAACCAGGTGTATATTCCCACTCTCGCAATAGACTACATGGTTCTTCTCAAGAGAAACTGATCAGTTCCAGTGAAAAGGCTTACAGATGCTGACTTTTGAGGTCTTTCCCCAGATACTCTGCAAGGAAGCCCACTGATCAACAATCCTACCATGTCCATAGATTTTTCATTCATCTTGTTAGTGACTCATTCTTAAATATGAATGGTCAGCCAAAGATTATCAGACATTTGTTGAAAGCCTCCACCATGAAAGAGACCAAATCAAGCAAAATGGGGGGAGGGGGAAAGAAGAACTCTGGGAAAACAGTACCTGCAGTAAACAGAGGATGATTTAAGAAGTAAAAACAGAAAAGATACTGCATCTATGAAGTAGTAAGATTCTATTTTTAAAAATTAGAAAATGGAATTCCTGTAAATTAAAAAGAGGAACAAATAAAATAGTATAAACTAAAGATCAACTAACATTTCTTGAACTCTTTAACTTGTGGAAAGCACAGTGCTTTAAGTTCTTTATATACGTTAACTCCTTCAATCCTTATGATAACCGTACAGAGTAAGTGGTAGTGTTATCCCCATTTACAGGTGAGAAGATTGACACAACAGAGAGTGGACATACCAGGATTAAATCCTGGCAGTTTGGCCCAGATTCTGTTTTTTAGGCACCAGGCAATGTATTGCCCTTTAATATCCCGAAGAGGACCAAGATATCTGATAAGTAGAAGAAAGAGGATCCAGAAATGATAGAGGATCAGTCCAGGGAGGTTCACCATCTAGCCTAATAAAAGTTACAGAAAGAAGTAGCACATAAGAGGAAGGGAAGGAACTTACCCAAAAATAATACAAAAACATTTCCCAAAGCTGATGTTTGTGACTATCCAGTCAAAAGGGCACGGAAGTTCCCTTACAGTAGATGAAACAACCCTTACTAAGGCCATGCACCGTGACATTTCAGTGCATCAGGCATAAAGTGATGGTCTTAAAACCTTCCCAGAGATACAGCAAGCCACTTACCAGGGTTCAGGAGTCAGAAAGACTTGACTTCTAAAATAGCAGCGTTGGAAACTGTTTAAGACAGTGGGAATTAGCCTTCATGATTTTGAGTGAAAATGATTTCTAACCTAGAATTCTATACCAGACTTTCAGTATGAATGTAGAACAAAGACATTTTCAAACATAAGGTTTCAAAAGCTGTGTCTCTTCTGCATCTTTTTTCAGGAGGATGCCAGAATAAGGGCATCCATGAAAATAAGGGTCTCAACTGGGGTGCTTTTGCCCTTGGAGGACATTTGTCAATGCCTGAAGACAGTTTTGGTTGTCAGGATGCGGGAGGGGGTATTCTACAGGCATCTGTGGGTAGAGGCTAGGGGTGCTGCCAAACATCTTATAGTGTATGTAAGATAGAACCTCACAACAAAGAATTTTAGGGCCTAAATGTCAGTAATGCCAAAAGTGAGAAAGCCTGGTCTACACCAAAAGAGAAATGATGTGGAACCCAGGAAACAGGGACTGCAAATGGGAGGAGAGTGAAGGTTGAGCACGGGGTGATGGTTCTTTGGCAGGCTTAGAGAACAGCCAGCCCAGACAGGAGCTAACAGATTACCTGACCATGTGGAAAACTGTTGTGAAATGATTTTTAGATTTTTAAGATTTTGTGAAGAATTAATGACCAGATCATAGAACACTAAGACAAAAAATAGTTTTGTCAAGAAAAAAGATGAGCAAGAAAAGGAAGTGTAATCATAGTATACTATTACCACATGGCTTATGTACTTCGAACAGTAAACACTGGATATTGATTTAACCAGAAATTATGATATAATGTGTTGCATTATGAGGCATGACATCAGCACAGGAGTACTAAATCTTTACCTTCCATAATAATCCAAAATTAGGAAGTAAAAAATAATTATAAACATACTGTTTAGAAAAATGGAGACATATATCAGGAAAAACACGTGGACGGGTAGGGAGAAGTTACCTCTAAGTAGTAGCGCTTAAGGTGGTGAGGGAACTGGTGGGGCAAGGATGTACTCTCTCTTTGTTTTATTTCTGTGTATAAAACTATTTGATTTTTTAAAATCAAACATGTTTATTATTTGGATGTATTTTTTTAAAGATTCATCTTTCCCACTGTGTATATGCAGTTTAATATCAGGGTTATTATTGAATATAAAAGACCTTCGAATGTCAGAGCACTCTTTTCCCAAATGATCCAGGAGGCCGTGTAGTGTGTCTACTACTACTCCATTTGATGTAGTGCATGGGCATCTAGGACTGCTGAGGCCTTGGATTTTTATTTGGAACCCACCAGAAAAAAAGGGGAAATTAAATCCCATTTGTTTTCCAGCTCTTCCACATTGACTTTGGACATATTCTTGGAAATTTCAAGTCTAAATTTGGCATTAAAAGGGAGAGAGTGCCTTTTATTCTTACCTATGATTTCATTCATGTGATTCAACAAGGAAAAACAGGAAACACGGAAAAGTTTGGCCGGTGAGTATTGTCCTCGTGTCAGTGTAAACACATCTAATGTTTTCTCAACTGACCAGCTAGACTAGCATTTAGCTGAGAGGTATATTTAGATTGGGGAGATAGTCAGTCTGCTAACAGGAGGCTTTGGGGGAACTTGCCTGTCAGATCCTGTTCTGGTTCAAAGAAGAGAAGAAAAATGCTAGAGGGCTTCCCTGGTGGCACAGTGGTTGGGAGTCCGCCTGCCGATGCAGGGGACACGTGTTCGTGCCCCGGTCCGGGAAGATCCCACATGCCGCAGAGCAGCTGGGCCCGTGAGCCATGGCCAACGAGCCTGCGCATCCGGAGCCTGTGCTCCGCAACGGGAGAGGCCACAACAGTGAGAGGCCCGTGTACCACAAAAAAAAAAAAAGCTAGAAATTTGAAATACATTATTGTTTTATTCCAATAGTATACCACCTTTTACCTGTATTAGAAAATTCTCTGAAACTGTTAAGACATTTGATAGTGAGATGCTGAGAGGGACTGGCATTTTGCTGTCATTCTGTGTGAAGTGCAGTAAGAGAGTCAGGGTTCAGGGAAAGACCTTGTAATCTCTGATCTATTCCTTGCTGTTTGTAGGTTTCCAAGCACATTACTTGTCATCTTGTCTTCTTCATTTTAAATGGGGACAAAAATAATTATATTTCAGGGATATTTTGATAATGAGAGATATGTTACATGATGTGATCAACTCATCCATATGCTTACCAAATGATTGCTAGTATCATTTCGAGTTCCGCATGGGTTTCTGCAGAGTATAACTCTGGATCCATTTTCCTCTTTGGCAAAATTAGGGAGATAGGATTGGGTGGTCATCTTGAATGACCAGCTTGAAGAGGAGAGAGAGGGAAGGCAAGATGATAGAAAGGTACAATGCAAATTCATTGACACTGGTTTGGGGGACATTAAAGAAATTAAGTCTCTGGAGTCAGACCACAAATCTAGAATCTAGAATTATGGTTAGAAATCCTTATGGATTATAATCACCACTTTTTTATAATTAATTTTTGTGACACATAGAATTAAAAAGCCTAGATTAAGTGTTAAATTGCCTTTTACCATATAATTTCTATTTAATTTTGTTTTTGAAAAAGATATGTGTGGTTTTAGAGAACTTGATTTATTTTATGTAAATTTTAGTCCTGGGACAATTTTCAAAAGGGTAAAACTCAGAAACGAACCTTTAGTTCAGTAGAAATTTTCCAGCTCTTATGGAAAGTCTAGCTATATCACTCATTTTCCTTTATGAAATTGCTATTTCCGTTCTAACATCATACTCTTGTGATTTGCTGCATCAACTGAAGGTTCCGCCAGTGTTGTGAGGATGCATATCTGATTTTACGACGGCATGGGAATCTCTTCATCACTCTCTTTGCACTGATGTTGACTGCAGGGCTTCCTGAGCTCACATCAGTCAAGGATATACAGTATCTTAAGGTATAAACCTCTTTTCTTTGTAAATTGGACTTTGTGAGCATAGAGCTCAGCCGTACCTACCTGTTTCATTCAGATGTTCAAAGGGAATGGAACAAAGTCATTTCCTGTGAGACAGTTTTACCCAGGAGTGGTAGTGACAAGCAGCTAAGTAGTTGTCTTGCAGTAATCATAAATTCATTTCATCTTCAAAAAGCCTCTGGCAGAGGTCATATTATCACCATACCTTGGTGTTCATTCTCTCTCCCATAAATGGTATTTGAATAAGGACATGGGGTATGCTGTGTGGCCAAGTCAGCCTCCTGCAGACTTTTGAGATTCGCATCTCACTACAGAGAATATATAAAATCAGATTTTTTCCCTTCATTTTCAGGACTCTCTTGCCTTAGGGAAGAGTGAAGAAGAAGCACTCAAGCAATTTAAGCAAAAATTTGATGAGGCACTCAGGGAAAGCTGGACTACTAAAGTGAACTGGATGGCCCACACAGTTCGGAAAGACTACAGATCTTAACGATCAGCCTTTGCTCCTAATGTATTTGTTGGTTTCGTTTAGTTTTCATTTTGCACTTGCACTAAATTGAACGTGACCCTGCCAGAGATGTTATAAAGGGAATGAAATCCTGGAACCCAGAGTTAAATTAAAAACAATGGCATCCCACAGAAACCTAATCTGAACAATCCCTGATGACCACCCTCTGCTTTTGAATGCTTCCGAGATTCATCATGCAAACTGTCAACATTATGGATAATCATTTCCTGCTGACTTTGCACGCCAAGGAATGCTACTAGAGATTGTTTTTTGTCTTTCTGTTTTTTGTTTTTGTTTTTTTTAAGTATTTGGTACTTTTCTGGAAAGGTGTAAATACTTCTTTTTCATATTGTGACCAAGTGTTATCACTCAGCCAACTTATCCACACCTGGGGACTAGTAGCTGTTCTTACTTTCCAAATGAGGCTTAAAAGAAAGCTTTCTTTCTTCCCTTTTTAAATGTGGAAACTACAAATTATAATATAATTTGAAATTATGATTTTTCAAAAATCTTTTAAACCTGTGGAAACATTAATTCTTTTGTTGATACTTATCTACTGTGATAGCATCATCCCAGCCAGACTTGATGAAAATCTGCTTGGTGAGGCAAATATAATTTATGCTGCATATATATTTATAAAATTTCTAGTGGGAGTTCTACATAAAAAGGATGTTATTTTGATTTTCTTCAGCCTGTGTTTTAAAGTTTTACAAAAGCAGAGCTTTTTCCTAAGTTACTTTTTAGTTAACTATGTGATCCAGTTCTTCCAGCTGCTTCTATAATGAGGCACATATTAATACAGTTTTTACGTGGTATCTATGAAAGAGTTCACTTCATAGAGCATAATACTTGAGCAAATGTATCCAAGACAGAAAGCAAATGAAAAGGAAACTATTTATGGAATAAACTCCAGGCCTAAAATTCAGTATTTTAGTAAAATGCCAGCTGTTCTTACTGTATTTATTAAAACTTGTAATAATGTGATTTTTCAAGGATATTAGTTCAAATTGAAATGTTTCATGCCACATGGAATTCTTTAATTTATTTGTTGAGGTACCATATATTTAGGGTGCTAGATGGCAGAAAATGTTAATATGTGCAATAGGAACTACTGGTTTGAATGTGTAAATGGATGCTCTTCCTGAGCACTGGCAACATCCAGCAAAACTACTGCTTATTCTCCAAAGACTATTGGGAGCTCTCAATCCTCAATGACATGGGAAAGAGAACTGAGTATTTGCCCTGCGACTGAGTTTTCTATAGGAATTTTATTAAAGATTGTTTAATTTTGTTGTCTTCCTTAATGTTCTCAGTCAAATAAATGGGTGAGCTGTTTTTGGCTGCTCTTGGGATGTGTGGGCCTCTTCTTTATGGGCAGCACAGGACCTTGGCACTGGGACTCTTTAAGAAATGGTCAAGTCAATAGACGAACCAACCTCAGGGTAAGCTAAGGCTCATGGTCTCTTCCGTGACTTCTCTCCTTGTTTCCCAACCCCATCAAGCAGTATGGGAGGCCTTTTGGACTTTGGTTGGGAGCCTGAGGCAAGAGGGTGTCTTCACTGAGTTTCCATGCCTTTGGGAGGTATCCTGAGGTCTGGAAGAACATCCCTTCAGTTACTTGGTACCCAAGGCTAGACTAGCCACTTTGTAGCTCTCTTCTATTGGGCAGGTGCTCAGAGCACAGTTTCTTGGAAATAACTCAGCTGATGGTGGGGATTGAACTCTGAACTGACCATTCCCAGGGCTGCTCTAGACTTGGTGAGAGTTGCAGAAATAGGACTGTAGGAGGACAGGTTTGTTCAGGGATCTTTGTCTGATAGCAGTCCACCATTACATGTACCAGGTTACGGATCAGGGGTTTGAAGAGTGGTGAGCATTGCCAGGCAGAAGTGGGCACCATTGTTTCCAGAGGGGTCTCCTCAGCCCATAGTTTCCTTGGTAAATATATGCTAAATCGGTGAATGTGAATGTCTTTAAGAGTAAGAAAGGGAAACGAACCTCCCCAGACAGTGCTGGACCTGAGGCCAGCATGGCTCTTCACCACCTCTGCCGTAGACCCCCCATAGATAGCACGATAGCCCTCAGTAGCTGCTGAGCACTCCTACCAGGTGCTCCCTACACACTTGCTGACTTGCATGTCCCTGATTCTCAGGGCCTCCGCCTGAGCCAGACAGTTGGAGGTGGAAGGCAGAGGATAGCCAACCAACAGAGCAGATTAGGGCTCTGGGCTGTAGGAATAGTTCCTTGCCTGGGGGCTGGTTACCCAATGCTTTGGCTCCCTGTCTTTTGGTTATTTCCCAAAACAAGATTTTGGAAGCTCTATACATTTCCATACCTGAGGACAGCATCTGTGTCTACCCTGGACTGGGAAGACAAAGGATGACTTTGTTGAACAAGTTAATTCCTGAGTATTCTTCTCATGTCTATATTCAAGACCCTGGGCTGCAGAAGCTAGTATTTGCAATCCAGCTCTGCCTCTCTGACCTTGGAGTAAGGTATTTATTTTCTTTCTCAGGATCTGAGCTTCCTATTTGTAAAGTGGGATTGGTAATAACTGCCCCACTCACTTCTGTGGGAGAGGCTAGTTTAAGACTGTGATTGGAACGTGTGCTGAGTCCCAACTCAGAGGCAATCTCATTTCTTTCCCTGCTTCCCCCTCCTGAAGGGAGGAATCTCAGGGAAGGGAAACCCCTTCCAGAGCTCTATGCTTGTCTCCTGTCTTCCAGTGCATTTTCAGTTCTGCCTTGTGCAGCCCATATCCCTGTCAGCACCAGATCTTAGCCAGGCAGCCTGTAATGCAGGATTCACTTGTCTGCAGAAGGTGAAAGATTGGTCCATGAAGTGGAAAACAGAGAGGTACCATGCCATGTGACCCTTACTATACGGGACAAGCAGCTCTTAGGAGGGAGGAAGCAGGGGCTGTGGTTTCCTGGAGAAGTGGACCTCTGAGCTGAGTCTTCAAGGACAGATAGGAGCTAGGTGAACAGGTAATGGGAAGAGCATATTAGGCAGGAAGGTACAGCATATATAAAGCATGATTCATGGGCATTAACAGGATCAGCAATTGCTTATTTCTACTGCCTCTTGCCCTTCCTCCACATCAGAATGCTGCATCTCTTCCCAGGTAGGATCTAAACACCAGTCATGACATCCTGGAGCCTCTTCCTCTTTCAGTAGCAGTAGCAGCTTTGTCCCCTTTTCCAGTGATGGAAAAACTGTCTGTCTGACAACACTTTCTGGGTTATTCCTACATGAAAATGTATAACTAATAGATTTTTGGAACTCTTAATACCTTTCTACTTTTAGCAAAGCTCAGTTTTAACACTTAGAGGTCTGGCCTTTCAGATCTTCTCCACCTTCTCCTCTTCTACCTTTTTTTATTGTGGAAAAAGGCACATACAGAAAAGTGCATAAAACAATAACATAAATAATATTAGCATATGATAGAGCAAACATCCAGGTAACCACCACACAGGTCAAGAAGGAACATTGACAACACCTCAGAACCCTACAAATTCCCCTTCCTGGTGAAGACTCCCTCTCTGCCAAGGTAATCACCACCTCTTCTTTTATGGCCATCATCAGGATTCTTCCCCTCAACATCATGTTTTTAAGATTCAGCCATTTAGTTGCATGTATCTCCAGTTCATTATTTATCATCACTGTACAGTATTCCATGTTATGGATACCCTATAATTTACATATCCTTTCTACTGTTGGGACACATACAGGTTGATTCTAGTTTGAGGCTATTACAAATGATGCTGCTGTGATAATTTATCTCCTGCTTCACATATGTACATATTTCTTTGGATGTATATACTTAAGATTAAAATTGATGGGTCATAGAATTATGTAATCTTTTTTTTACCAAGTAATGCTAAAATGAGTAGTTGTACCAATTTATTTTTTCCTGGTACTTAATTCTTGTTGCTCCACACTCTCGCCAACACCCGGTTAACCAACATTTAAAAAATTTTAGCTGTTCTGGTGTTTATAGTGAGCTAATTTGCATTTCCCTGATTGATTAGTAATGACATTGAATTGCTTTTTCATGTTTGTTTTTGGCCATTTGGATTTTCTGCTTTGTGAAATGCCTTCTTAAGTCCTTTATCCATTTATTAATTTGGTTACCTGTCATCTTGGTTTTTTGTTTTAAGGAAGGATTTTTTAATTTTGCTTTTTCGTTTTTGTTATGTGAAATTCTGTATATATTTTGTCTACAAGCCTTATCTTATAATAACACAAGATCTTAATTTTAATGTCAAACATTATTATTTTCCTTTGTGGTTAATATCCCTTATGTGGTATTTAAGAAATCTTTCCTTATTCCAAGGTCATGAAGATATTCTCCTGGAATACCTTATGAAAGCTTCATTTTTTTCCTAATCCATTTAGATCTGTAGTCTACCTGGAATTGCTTTTTATATATAGTATGAAGTGTTTTTTCCTAGTATCTTTTATTTGGAAAGATAATCCTTCTTTCTCCACTGTTCTATATCCCCCTTGGTCATAAACCATCTGTCCATATATGCATGAGTCTGCTTCTGGACTCTAGAAGATATCCAGTAGATTTCATCTCCCTATTTTATTTTATTTTAATTATTAAACTCATGCATAGTACATATTGTGTGCTAGGCATGCATCTAAACTATATATATTTAACCCTTTTAACAATGTTGTATGATAGGTACAGTTGTTCTTTCCCACTTTGCAAATGAGAAAATGGAGGCATTTTGTCCACAAAGTAGGAGCCAGTATTCAAACTCAGGGAGTCTGTCTTAAGTGTCCATGCTCTTTATTCACAGTTATCAGTGATGCCTCAGTATACATTTCAGAATCTACTTGTCGAGATGCCCAAAATATGGAAATTTTAAATGGAATCGCACTAACTTGTAGATTAGGTTGAGTCAAATTGACATCTTCAGAATATTGACTCTTAAAATCCATGACAGTGGAGTATCTTTTATTTAGATCCTCTTCAGTTTATATCCACTGTGATTTGTAGTTTTCTATGGAGAGCCTTGTCTATATTTTGTTAGATTCCTGGGTAAGTGATTTTTTTTAACATATTTATTGGAGTATAATTGCTTTACAATGGTGTGTTTCTGCTGTATAACAAAGTGAATCAGCTATACGTAAATATATATCCCCATATCTCCTCCCTCCTTTTTTTTTTTTTTTGTGGTACGCGGGCCTCTCACCATTGTGGCCTCTCCCGTTGCGGAGCACAGGCTCCGGACGCGCAGGTTCAGTGGCCGTGGCTCACGGGCCCAACCGCTTCGCGGCATGTGGGATCTTCCCGGACCGGGGCATGAACCCGTGTCGCCTGCATCGGCAGGCGGACTCTCAACCACTGCGCCACCAGGGAAGCCCCCTCCTCCCTCTTGTGTCTCCCTCCCACCCTCCCTCCCTCCCTATCCCACCCCTCTAGGTGGTCACAAAGCACCAAGCTGATCTCTCTGTGCTATGTCAGTGCTTCCCACTAGCTATCTGTTTTACATTTGGTAGTGTATATATGTCCATGCCACTCTCACTTCTTCCCAGCTTACCCTTCCCCATCCCCGTGTCCTCAAGTCTGTTCTCTACATCTGCGTCTTTGTTCCTGTCCTGCCTGGGTAAGTGATTTTAAGTTTCCTTGTTGTTGATCTGTTATATAGCAATTGTTCTCAAAGTGTGGTCCTCTGACTTAGGAGTATTAGCATCACCTGGGAACTGATTAGAATGCAAAGTCTTGACCCCCACCCCAGACCTACTAAATCAGAAACTTGGGAGATGGAATAGAGCAACCTGAATTTTAATAGTTTTAACTAAAGTTTCAGAGCAATCAGTAGATATACAAATAATATTTCTATTTCTCAGACATATGAAACATTCTAATTAATCCTATTTATAGAAATTATTTTGATTTTGCTTGTATCATCTACAAATGATTAGTAGCTTTATTTCTTTCTTTCCATTCCCTTCAACATTTTATTTCTTTTTCTTGACCTGCACTGGTTAGGAATTCCCAGAAAAGGTTGAATGGAAGCAGTATTCTACCTTTTGCTGATCTCAAAGGGAAAGTCTTCCATATTAGGTATGGTGTTTGCTCTGGAATCTGGATCTTCTACTAGGTTAAGGAAGCATGTTTCAATTCCCACTGAATTTGTTTCAAAAATCATGAAGTGATGCTGAATTTTATCAAGTTATTTTCTGCATTTTACAAAGATGATCATATGGTTTTACTCATTTGGTGAGTTATATTGATTGATGTTCAAATATTTAACCAAATATTTACATTCCTTGAATGAGCCCAACTTGATTGTGATGTATTATCTTTTTAAAAATATATTGCTGGATTTGATTCGCCAG